AAAGTCACCCAGTTGGCTCCATGGCCGAGTGGGGACTCGAACCCTGGTTGCCTGAGTCCCAGGCCGGCTCTCTTAAGAGAGCTGTACCACATGGGGTCCTGTAGCACTCAGACCCTGGGTCATCCCATGCAGATGACTGGTGGGGTGCTTAGGACGGAGAAAAGGAAATGCTTCTTCCCACAGCATATAGTTACACTATAGAATTTGCTGCCCCAGGAAGTGGGGATGGCCTCCAACCCATATGACTTTAGAAGGGCAGATACGAGGGAGGGGGCTCCCCGTGGCTACTAGCCTTGCTGGCCACGTGCTCCTTCCTTCACCAGTGGCCGAGGCAGGAGGAGGCCTCGCACCCATCCTGCCTGGGGGATCCCGTGGGCAGCTGGTTTGCCACCAGGTGTACAGAGTGCTGGACCAGAAGACCTTGGGCCCTGATCCAGCTGGCTGCTCTTACCGTCTTATGACAGAACAAAATATGGGGTAGATAAGTGAGAAAGCATTGTAAACTTTTCAGTGATTTTAAACATATATATTTCAGACTTGGGTTGTTTTGTTTTGTTGGAACGATGTGGAAATATCAACATTGCCAGAAATTTAAATCTCTTGGTAAGTCATGTTATAAAGTAGATCTCCTTATTCTGTGAGCATTGAAGATTTGGGTGACTTTGGAGGAAGCTTAAAGAAGCTATAAAATGGGATTCCTTTGAATACAGTGCGGGAGGAATTTATTGCTGAGTTACAATCTTTGAGCAGAAGACCCCAGAGAGAGAAATGTGGTTGATAAGGAGGACTGAGTTATCAAGGGGTCTAGGAGCTTGAATAATTTTGAGAAGAGAGGAGGCAAATAGATTTTCTTGATGCACCTGAGGCTGCTAGCATGGTAGAAACTCTCAATTAGGGTTAACAAACTGGTGCCTTCCAGATGTTTGGGCTGTGGCTCCCATCATCCCAGGCTGTGCCACCAAGAATAATTGAGTGCGGGAGTTGTACAACTAGAGTTGTTGGAGAAATCCGCAACAGGTTCAAACGGGTTTGGATTTCTATAAATCCGGCCTGCAGATTCTGCAGCTGAACCGACTGACTGCCCTTGTCTACTGCCGTTTTTGCCCATCCAACTGGAAGGGCAGGGAAGGAGGCCCAAGGGGACACAGGTTAGCTGGGATCCTGCCCAGTCCAGTTCCGCCCCCCCCCCCAGGCTGATTTACCAACCTTGGAAAGGGGCTCTGATTAGCAACTCCAAGATGGAGAATTCCCCCAACCTCAGATCCAGGAATCTGAAATAGCCCATGGCTGCTAAAACATTAATTAAAATATATTAAAAACTCAGAGGCATATAACCATATTCCAAATGAACTTGCCTGAGGGGGGTGTTATATAGGCACCCCAAGTGCAATTCACAGCACATGACTGACATAGAAATCAAGCTCGCTTTTCTTCAATTCTTGTCCTCACAATGCTCCCCAATTTTAGTCTTTACTAGGCATGTTTTTTCTTTTTCTTTTCAACAACTGCTCTCCAACACGGAGTCTAAAATATCCCCAGAATCTACGGAATTTGCCATCTGTTTCTTGATGTCCCCAAATGGAAGTAACAGTTTAATGGGATGAAATGCCCCCATGACTTTGGCCAAAGAAAATTGGTTGCAGAAGCAGAATATAAACTCTGTGCACCAGTTAGATGGCATTTCATCAGAAAAACATTTAGCTCACCAGAGAAGGCTCTGCTCTCTGGCTAGAAAAATGTCTCAAGACCAAAAGGGTTAGAATTCTTAGCAATAAAAACCAATCTATCTAAAGATTCACTTTGACAGTTCAAAATACTTTTCTTGCATATTCAGTTTAAAACATTATGATACCAGAGAGATATCATCTTATTTTGGGAAGGGCTTTTTTAACACCCTCAAGAACACTAGAAAATGGCTTGGCGTAGTAGCTGCCCTTACAAACATGTTTGCACGTATTCATAAAAGATACTCAGCATTAATACAAAGACAGCTTATTCGCACAAAGTTCTTTTCTTTTCTTGAGGAAAAGCAAGAGTGCAACCAGTCTTTTTAGTCGATGTGAGTGTCTTTTGGTGCCAGGGCTAAATTCAGTTATACAGAAGCTCTGGAAGGCTGAATTCCAGTGGTGGGTGGAGCTACTGGCAAAATGGGTGGGGCCAAAGAGAACTGGGCGGGGCCAAAGAGAACTGGGCAGGGCATCTTCAGCTTAACATTCTTCTTGCTTGGCCTTTAGAATGCAGGGGGAAGCATGCCACCAAAGGATAAATGGCCTTGAGAAACGGGATGCGGCCAGGAAAAGTTGGGCCGGCTGCCCCCGCGGGGGAAGCCCTGATGGCAAGGAGGCGGCCCCACGAGGGCCATGTTTGGCCCACCAAGCCTGCCTTTCCTAGCCCTGCCTCAGATCACGTCCTCCAAAACCATTCAGCACATTAGTGGAAGTTTTCTAAAACCACCCTGTACAATTTCTCCATTTTATGGTCATTCAACATTAAGGATCTAAGTGGCAATTTAATTCCTTTTAAAATTCACCCAAAGCTATTTACTGATGTAGGACTTTGGGACTACTATGTAATAAAATTATAATGCAGCCAGAGAAGGATGTTGGGGAGAGACTGCCCTCTGGAGGAGAAGTGCAGTGCTGCAAAAGCGTTCGTAGCAGCAGCACCCCCAGTAAGAGAAGCCGTACTGGGAGAGGCACGGAAAACCATCCTCACGATCGCTTGGCAGTTGTCATTCGTAGCTCCTGGTTTTGGGGGGCCTTCAGGCAAGGACCCTTCCGTGGAACCCCTCACACTGAAAGTCCACCTTCTCTTCTCCATGGTTCCCCGTTGGTTTTCCTCCTCATCCTCTTTCCCATCATGGCCACCACGTCCCTGTAAGTGCCAAGGGGCAAGCTGGCCTGGCAGCATCTTCTCCCCCGCCCCACTGAAGGGCCAGAGAGAAAGGTAAGCCGAGAAGAGGGTCATACAGGCAAAAAAGGGGAGCGACACGTTTTGTCAGCGAACTGAAATGGTCGCACCTCTTGCAAACTTGTTTGAATACAGTTAGGAGCAAACCCAAGTCACATTTCCCCAAAACTTTTTCCTAAAGTTTTTGCAAGTTGAACTCATGTGGTACTGAGCAGGCAACACAGGAATTTTTCCTGAAGGAATAAAGCACGGGGTTGCGGTCATGCCCTACAAACTTTGCAGTGGAGTTTTATTTGTGGGTCGGTTTGCTTGTTTCGGTTTTGTTCCTTTAATATGATGGAGACTTTTCAAGTCGGAGCATTGGTTCCTTTGAGTCTAAAGAGTTTAGAAAAAGCAGGAGGAAGAGATATCCAGAGGGCAAGGCTACAGGCCTTTGGCAGGAGGAGAAGTCACCTAAGGCCAGCGCCTGCAAAATTATTACAGAATCATGTCCTGCCCCCTTGTGTTCATCTGGACCCCTGCAGGCCATCACTTCCCTAAAATGCCGCATTCTGGGGTGCGGAAGCTCAGTTCTACAGGAAAATTGCTAACCTACTGGGAATTTCAGAAGACCACACAACCTTCCCTCGCAAATATCGGTAGAGTGTGACCCCCAGCTCTCGCGCCTTCGGCCCCCATTCTTGACATCCCTGTCCTCAGGGCAGATGACCAGCAGCTGGGCCACCCTCTTGCCACCCAGCCTGGCCTTCTGGGATGCAGCCCCGGAGGCCCCTTGGAGCTGGGAGGCTCTGCACCTCTGCTCCTGCAACCACCAACCTGACTTTTGACTGCAGGAGCTCCTCGAGAGCCGCTGGAGAGCAGATGCAGAAGGAAACTTTTTGCCCCCAGCCGAAGCATTTCAGGGCAGGGGGAGACTGGAGAAGCATCAGGAGAGATTGTGCCCCACCAGTCCCCTCCCCTCCCCACCCACAGTAATCCCCCTCCCTTTAACCCTCTTACAACCAGCCACTACAAAACTCTGTCCCTACCTGCAGACTTACAGTCTGTAAATTCATGACATACAAGGAAAAACAGAGGAGGAGAGAAGAGGAAAAACACCCTTAAAGGGTCTCTTTAAGAAAACCAGGTGAGTTAAACAACTAATTTCTCTGCCCTTTGCCCCATGCAACCATGCTTCTGCATTCCTGATATTTATATTTATATACCACCCCACAGGCGCTCTAGGTAGTTTACAAATTTTTAAAAAATCGTACTATTCATAAAATACTTATATTCAGTAAATAATAAGACTAAAACTATACAACAGGCAACAATCATAGGGCAACAAACTGCAGTAGCTATAACAATTTAACTGTCAAAACAGTAAATAATATTTAAAACTGACTCAGCAGATAATAAAATGCAATAGACCTAACTGTTAAAATAATTAGAAAATAAAAAGGTTTTCACCTGGCACCAAAAAGATGGCAGGGAAGGCACCAGACCACACCTCTCTGGGGAGCCGATTCCAGAGATGGGGTGCCACTGCTCCTGGTCGCCACCCCCCCACTCCTTTGGGAACGATTCCCTGAGAAGGACCTTGGCAGACAATCTTAAGGGTCGGGCAGAAATGCACGGGACAAGGCCTTTCCGGTAGCAGATACGTTAGAACAGGTGTGCCAGCCCTGATTAAAAACAAACGTCTAGCAGCGTCGTAACTACAGGAATAAAGTTTGCTTCCATTGCCCGGGTGCCAAATGCATTTACTTGGAATAAACACTGTTTTGTTGCAGAAAAGCACAATGCATATTTAATATAATAAAAGCAAAGGCACAGCGAGCGCCTGCAGACATGCCTGTTGGCGAGCTGCCCCCAGCGTGATGTGAGCACTGCCCTGTCAGACTGGGAATCGGGAGATCCGGGTCCAAGTGTCAGCTCAGCCAGGAAACTCTTTGGGTCAGCCCCTGACTCAGCCTGGCCTACCTGGCAGGGCTGTTGAGAGGGTCAAATGGAGGCTGCTAGAAGCTCTCTGCAGCGACCCGTTTTGTCCTGAGCAGCTGTGGCTTGGGGGGCCCTGGAGGCTGCCTCCCCCATCCGGCGGGCTCGCTTACCTTCGCAATGAGATGGTTCTGGAGCATGCTTTCCCGGGCCACCCCCAGCCGCTCGTTCTCGCAGCCCGGGTGCAGCTCCGCCAGGGTCATGGGCCGGCGAGGCGGGGGGCAGATCTGGCTGACGCTGCGCCTCCGGAGCAGGTGCTCCTTGGTGAAGGGCTTCTTGGCCATGGCGCGGCCACGTGTCCCCGGCCCTCTTCTCAGGAACGGAGAGATGCTCCCTCGGTCCGGGGCCTCAGGCCTGTGCCATTCCGGGGCTCAGGGGGCGGCGGCCGAGCGGGCCCCCACCGCGAAGGCGTCCAGGCCTGTGGGACCCTCGGGAGAAGCCGCTGCCCGGGCCCCAGGCACTCGAGGGGCCGCCGTGCCCCCCTGCCGTGGCTTGTCGAGATGCCTCTCTCTCGCCCGGAGACCTGCTGGCTGGCTGGCTGGCTGGCTGGCTGGCGATGGCGAGCCCGTTGCCGTGGCGACACTGGACGCTAACCGTGTCCAGGAAGCGCTGCCTGAGGCGGGGGCACCGGGTTGCCAGCCAACCGCAAACCGAGGGGACCGGCCGGCGCGGCGCAGCCTTGTTCCCCAGTCCCGAACAGGCTTCGTCTTTTGCTTTTTAGAATTATCTGGGTTTTAGCCCAGCTCTGGATCCAGCCCAACCGAAGTCCTTCCTGGAGCAGGGCTCTTGAAACGGTGCACCTGAGCCAGCAGCCACCCCATGGATTTCAGCATATCTCCTCTATTTCCGGAGGCAGTGGGATAATGCTAATTTTTTAAAATATATCTATATGAGAGAGAGAGAGAGAGAGAGAGAGCGCGCGCGCACGCGCGCACACAAAAATGGGAGTCAGTCATTTTTACAGTCATTTTGTGTGATCCACACGCTTGTCCCAAGAAGCACCCTAAAAGTTTTAAGTTAATGCGATAGTCCAAGCACCTCACTTGTGTGTGATGAGACTTGCCAAAAGTTCATTTTAGGAATTCGGGGCTTCAATTTGTACTATCCTGTAAGCAAATTTGTGTAAATTTGTGATGAGGAACCAAACATCCTAATTCTGGTGGCCACAAATGCTTCCTCTTGGAACTGTTTTCTGTGGTGCACAGGCAGGCAACGGGCAAACTTACTGGATGCTGCTGAACTCCTCATACCCATTATCCCCAGTCAGGGATGATGTAATTTGTGGCCCACTAGCTTTGTTTACAAGAGCCTCAAAGGCTCCACCAGGCAGAGCTGGGTGAGAAAAACATTTAAAAGGATCTGTTTTGAGTACCTACCCAACCTTCTGCACACACAGCTCTTTTGGGAGTAGTCACCGCGCAACGTTTTGCGTAAGGGGGACACCCTGTGTGTCTCACGAGAGGGCCAGCCTCCTGCCTAAGCAGTGTATCAGCAGCTCACACCCTGCTCCTCCCAATTCACAACCCTCGTGTCACCTTTCTCATGACAGCGACCACATACCAGATAGGCATCTCCCTGGAGCCATCTAGTGCTTCCTTCACCTGTCATGTCCAGCCTGCATAATGCAAGTTTATACATAAAGCCGGGGTTTTTCACCCGGGCGGGCATCCTATCTGCTTACACGGAACCACATTTGCCATTTTAAGACCAGTGTGCAGGGTTGGTCCCAGCTGCTTGAGGTTCCCTGGGTGAGACTCTCCGCAGCCCCTCTTGGTGCATCTGCCTTCACCAGCTCCTGATCCTTTCCTATCGTTCTTCCACCTGTCCGCTCTCCACCATTACCTGGGCTGCCGGGAAAAGTGGGAACACAAGCAGGGAGTGCAGGAAGTGATGGTTCCCAGGTACTCCACTCACCAGGCCACTGTTCCCCCATAGCTGGTGCTGGCCTTGTTCAATCCCTCCTTTATCAACAGAATCTTTTTGAGCTCCTTGCAATTCTCAGAGTCGTCCTTCATCCCTGCAGAAGTCTGACCAGCCCACTTGGAGAGCACTTTCGAGATTAAGCCAGGAACCACTTAAGGGCAAACTTTTCCTCCTCTGTATGCACTCGTGTGCCGGCGCGCACACACCCACGCAGAGCCCCCAATCTTCTGGCTGATCAATGCGGCCAGAGTTCCAAGATCCCAAAGTATCTTCAGTGTCTGAATGTCAAGCCCACCAAGATCTTGGTGGGTGAAGAGAGTAAACTGTGGTTCAGTCTCTACCGCTGAAGGAAGCGAGAGCCACAAACAGGTGCAAGGAGGACTTGAGTAAAGGAAGGGCAGGGCAGAGGTTTTGGAAACAATATTTTACTTAAAAATATACATAAAACATGGCTTTTATATTAGTTCTTCACATATATTTGAAAATAGCTTTCCATTCTTTGCAGAAATCTTTTTAAAAAATGAACTTTAAAAGATAACACTCTTTGATTGCTTGGACCAGAGCAAGTAGAAACTGACAGGCTGGGCTCAGATGGGAAGAAATGCTCCGCTGGCAGGCCTGGCTGGGCGATTCTGGGCGCCCTTGGGCTTCCTGCCAAAATATGCACACTATTGTACCCTTTAACTGGCTCAGAGCAGACCAACCCCCCCCCCCCACTTCACACCCTCAAGATGTTATGGACTTCAACATCCATCCCCCAAAATCAATGCCAGTCAACATGGCTGTCAGGAATGTTGCCCATTACGATCCCAAAACATCTGGAGGGCAGCAGTTTGTGGAGAGCAAGAGCAGATCCATTCAATTCAATGGAACTTCCCCCAGGCATGACTCATTAGCCCCGCTGATTCCTGGAGGCCTGCTCCAAGCATGGACCCAAGCCATGGCGAGAGAGCGCCTTTCCCCTCTATTCACTGGGCAGAGACACACGGGCAGCAGAGCCTCTTGGAACCATCCATGGCTGGAACGCCAGAGGGGCAACGCTCTTCCCTGCCGTCCAAGTGAACCGGCCGCTGGAGTGGCCAACACAGCTCTCAGCTGCAGTGGGCCTCTTTCCTCGAGCACTTGTGCCAAGCAGGAATCGCAGCTACGCTTTAACGATCAACTCAGGGGCTGCTGGGGAGCTGTTCAAGGTAGCCCGGAAAAGCACTCAGAGCTTGAACCAAAGTGCTTCTTGAAACACACACCATCCGAGTCAGGAGGACGAACCGGCTCTCCGTTGCACATCGTGGCACCCGTAGAAGCACGAGAGAGAGGCGGACCTTTAAGCAATCCGTTCACATGCTCTCTCCCCCTCACACGCACACACAGAAATATTTCTAGCATGCTGGCTCTTTCGCTCTTCCCTGGAGATGGACTCTCTCTCTCTGAACTGGAGCAGGCAAGCTGGTACAGTCCTGAGCAACCACTGGGGCTGATGGGAGTTGTGGTGAAAAAAGCCAGAGGGCAACAGGTTGCCCACCTGAAAGCATGCCTCGTGTTGCATCAGCGAAACCTCCATCTTGCCCAGGGCGGGAGCTGCATTACCCAAGAAGGGAGCAAAACGTTCCAGTTTGTACCTGGACAACCCCCGTTTAAGGATTGTTGGGTACAGTGAGTGATGCACGGCAGAGGGACTGTAGAACCTACTGCCAGAAGCACAGGCAAAAGGGAGGAGCTGAATATATCTAAGTAGCAAGTGATATGGCCAAGACTCAATGTAGATATATTGTATTTCCACCTCTGCTTGGAGCAAGTTAGAAAAGCAGCATTCCTTGTCTAATACCTGCTTGGATGATCATAAAACCATCTTCCCCAAACTGGTACTTTCCAAGCACAAGACCGATTGCTTCATAGTCTCCTGTGGGCTCCTCAGAGGATCCCTGGGGAGGGAGGCATGGGGGGCGGGACCCAAGAGAAGACCAAGTCACAACTGGCATAGGTTCTGCCAGGCTTTGCTTGGCAGGAAAAAAGCAAATCAAACATCTAAGGCAGCCAAGACCGGGACAGAATCAGACAAAGCTGGTTGAACGCTGCACCTGGCAAAATCCACATGAGCGAGTCAAGTCATGATTCATTTCTGGCATGGATTCCTACGGGGCTGATGTGAACTCTTGAATGCTCCACCCTGCTGGAGACAAGAGAAATTGTAGCCCCAAACATCTGAAGGGCAGAAGGGATCAGGAAGGCTGCTCACCCGAATGAACAACCCAGGGTAGACCGCAACCAACAGAGCATGCAAAATACCAATCATTCCCACCTTATGCTAATTTATATCCCTGCCAAAAAGCAGGGGGCAGCAAAAACCATAATGAGAGAAGAACACCAATTCCTACTTGGCCCTGAAGTTTTAACCCTGTCGGAAAGGAGTGGGTTTCTCTTGCCTACGTCTCCCCCCTTGGCTGGAAGAAAAGCAAGCCAGGTCTGGCCCAGAACATTTTGTCTGTGCTTCAGCTCCAAGACAGAGCTGCTGAAAAAGTAAACGTGATTTTGAAAAAAAAAATGTGTCCAGAGTAGCTTCAGGGCACCCGATGGCGTCAAGACCAGCTTGCCTGAGCCACAAAAAGGGTCAAAAGGCTTCCAAATGGGTGTTTCAAATGTCACAGTTTTTTTTAAAGAGGGGCAGCGTGCCCACGGTGGCCCACCCTGGCTCCAGCCCGTGGGGTCATGGAGAGTCCAAGAGGCCAGGCAGAAACTTCCTTGGAGAGATGGAGGCGGGATGCAAAATCCACAACCCCCTCAGCACTGGGCGTCCAGGCCGCTCCTCTTTCCCGCTATTCACAACAGCTCTGCTATCACGTCTGCAAAAGGCATCTCGGCGAGCCACGATTGCTCATTCTGTTTCTGTCGTGACAGAAACTTACACAGAGCCGCATCTTGGTGCAGGCATGGGGGGGGGTGCCTCTAGGAAGACCCATCCCAATGCTGGGGCGGTCCCTCCAAAAACAGCACCCATCATCCATGAGCGGTTGCTACCACCTTCCGTTGCAAATTTTCCACCAGCAGATGGTCAGCAACCAACCTGCCCCTTCAAGACAAGGTACATTCCAAGAAGCAGGAGTCCAATATCCCCGGAGAGAAAGCTCCGGCTCGTTCTCCTTTGATGTCAAACACCTGTTTTCTTCTTCAAGTCAATAGTAGGAATCGAAACTCAAGGGGCTCTGCGGGATCCCAGTCAGCAATTTCAGCGGAACCTCTGTTCGCCTACTCGTCGTCTTCTTCAGAGAGCAGAATGTCTTCATCATTATACCTCTGGAAGATGTCGCTGAACTGGAAGGCCGTTTTGAATGTTTCCTCTTGCCTACTCGATGTCTGATTTTCTCCCCTCTTTTCATAGACCTCCTTTAGCTTTGGCAGTGTCTCTTTGTAAAGGTAATCAATAATTTCTTGAAGAGGGGAGGGGAGGGAGGGAGAGAGCATTGAGTGAGTTTGGGTGCAGAAGGGCAGGTGGAACAAGAGAACCAACCTTGCGCACGGCTTCCAGTCCATCCTACGGGGCAGGGAGCAAACCACCCACCAGCAGGCCCAGAAAGACGTGAGCCCTGCTTCCTTCGATCTGACCGGGTGTTTATTAAGGGCCCGCTTTGCAGCAAGCTTTCAAGGCAAGGGGAGAGGCCCGATGGACTCACCTGGGAAGTCCTTTTTCTTCCAAGAAGGGACGTACTGAACTTTCATTTTGTAAAATCTGCTTTGGATGTAGGATGGTGGGACGTTTCTGGGGGTGTGCAAGGGACAGAAAAGGAACATCAGGAAAACCAGTGGTGGCAACAGCATTTGCAGAAGGAGAAGGAACTAGTTCTGTGCATCTGAAGCTGGGCAGCCCTGGCTGCTACTCTGTGGCCTGCAGAACTACACGTGGCGTCGGCAGCTTAAATTCCATTAAGGCAGCGATAGGGACACGTGGCCTGCCTGTGATCGCGCCAACCCCCTGGCGTGGCCTGCTGCCCCACTAAGGAAATTCATGGCAGGCAGGTAAACCCTCACGCATTTGCCGCAGCAGAATGCTAGCAAATACTGGCCGCTGCACCGTTCTGTCAGTTTGCCACGGAAAAACAGGAAGTAATCAAAATGTTTTCCAATGGTGGCAGTGGAGGGAGAATGACCTCCCACTTGTCCCATCCTGCACTGAGGAGAATGAGGCCACTCAATTCCAGAGGAGCAAGCAGAATGGGGTGAAACATTATCTGGTCCCTCCCATGGACCGACTGCAGCTTTTTACCCAATCACGTCGGAGAGTTCCTCCCAATTGATTTCGCTGGAGTCCTCAGCTTTCAGCTCATACAACCTGAAACAAGGAAGTAATTCAGTCATTCACTTCACACAGCAGAAACCTGGAGGCAGTTAAAGCTGCCCACGCCAACAAGAGACACCTGGTGTGTCCAACCAACACCCCTTGGCTGGCTACTTCAGGTTATTTGCAAACACTGTGGCCTCAAACACAAATAGCCAATTCCTTTTCTTGCACGTTCAGTTTTAATTATCAGTTCTTTAGGGGAATTGCTTCCTGTTCAGTGTGGCTTGGTGAGAAGTGGCAACTGTGAACACGCACACGCACTACAGGGTGGATAGGAAGTAGGTCTCCAGATGTTTGGGCTTTTAACACCAGGGCCAATGGTCATACACACTGGGAGGTGAAGTCTAACACACCCAGAGACCTGCTGGCTGCTCACCCCTCCAGCTTGGGACCCACATGCCATCTGCTCTTGCAATCCGGGCCCCTGTGCTCGAAGGTCTCCCAGTGGCACAGGGGTGACAGTCAGTTCCAGACCCTGACTGCAGAAGCCCTTGCCAGAGACTGCCTGGGAATCAGAGCTGCTCTCCTTCAGGCATCAGACTGCAAAGCATGCTTCTATTTAACCAGGCATTTTAGCAGATTTAAGTTGATCAGCACCACTGTGGCCTGCGTTGAATTTTTATCTGAGTCTTGGTTCCTGGTGCTTGTTATACTGCTTTTAAGCTGCCACCCAGCCTGAGAGGCGAGATATAAACACTCTCAGAATATGTCCAGTACCTTTCAATGAGGTTGATCTTGAAATGCAGATTTTCATATCCCTGACTCTTTGTTCGCCCTCGGGACATCCTCTGGGTCACAATAGAAAGCCTTAAAACAGAGGGAGAAGTGAATAAAGCATCTCTTGAGAACTGGCTGGAGAGCACTGGGCCATCGGGCTGTATAAACACGTGGAAAATAAGTTAAAAAATAAGCAAGCAAAAGCCGGTAGTTCAGTTCTCGCCCCTCCTGTTTTCAGCCCTGCCCACCATGGGCTCAATTTAGCCTGTGGATTGGGTGGGATCCAGATCCAGTGCCCACTGAAAGAGGTCCACAGAGAATGGCTCCAGGGTGAACGGAGCTCTCGACTGAGCCTGCCAGAGAAGGCTGGAGGGTGGATGCTGGACCCCAGCACTCACCAAGGAAGGAGGCAAGGGCCGTCCAAGGACAACTGTGCAGAGCTTATCAACCGAAACCTTTTGAGACTGGCCTGCCTGCAGCTGGGACGAAGACCTGGCGAGATCCCCGAGGAAGGTGGGCTGCCTGGGAGCAGGTGCTGGAGATCACCCTATAGCTGACGGGGCGGGGGGGGGGGGGATAAAGCACAAGGTGCTTGGTGTGGCTCGTTGTCTCCCCCTCCTGGCAAGGAGCTGCTGAGGCCTTTTGCCCAACCACGACGCAGAGCTGGACTGGCTTTGCGGGTCTTCCTGTCGCAACTCTGCATGCTCTTGGGAATGGGGTTCCAGTTCTGCCTTGCTGCTTTACCTTTAGGTTTTGACTTGGCCTTGGGACCTTCCCTTCCGGAATGAATTCCTTCTACCTAACAGATCCAGTGCCCAGGCCAGGGCAGACTGCTGGGAGAAGGGGGCGGGCCAGTTCCCTGGCAGGGATGTGTGGAAACTGGCTCCCTTCCCTCGCAAGTCCCCATTCAAAGGCTTAGAAAGGAGAAGCGGATCAAAAGGCGCTCCTTACCACCGCTGCTTGCATTGCCTCCAATTCCTGGTTTGCACCTTGGCCTCGATTTGACTCCACGGGATGCCCTTGTAAAGATCTTCGCGTGTCACCGTGAGCGCCTGCTCAGAGACCACCTTCTCTCTGGCAGAATTCGACCTTTTCACTTTAGACCGCAGGGCTTCTTCGACAGCACGAACCAGACTGTTGGTCTCTTCTCGACTCCATGGGCCACAATTGGTTTCTGAACTCGCACAGGAAGAAAGAGAGTACGCGGGTTGGTGGCGACCAGGGGACAACTGCTGGCCAATTTCGGAAGCATCATGACATTTACTGGGAAGTGCAGGGAAGGACTGTGGCTTGCAATGGAGCTCCCATTCTGTGTGCAGAGAGCCCCGGGGTGTAGTAGCTAAGAGAATGGGACTGAGACCCCGGTGATCTGGGTTCTAGACCAACTGGGTGGCTCTGGGCCAGTTGCAGACTCTCAGCCCTACCCACCTCACAGGGCCGTTGCTGTAGGAACAAGACTGAGAGCAGGAGGAAGAGAAGGATGTAAGCTGCTTTGAGTTTGTTGTAAGAAAAAAGCGGGAAATAAATCTAATAAATAGGTGATATTCACACAGTTGCTTCTGGTTTAGCAAATCCAGAATACTCATTTTCCACCAGGTGGCTTACTATGCTACCCAGTTTTGCAGGGATTTGTGGGTACTGAGCTCTTCCTCCAGGCCAAGCAGGCTGGGAACTTGCAATCCAAGTGCCGAACCAAGCTTTAGCACAAGCCCAGCTCATTACATAAACTTACTGCACAATCCTAGACATGTCTAAGTGAAAGCCCCATTTAGTTCAAAGGAGCTTATTCCCAAGGAGGCAAGCATAGGATTTGGGCAAATTTCAGCTGAGACTAATTAACATTAAGAGGTTAGGCTGTGGGTTTTATGGGAGGTGTGAGTTTTGAGCAGGGTTGCAAATACCATGTGATTCTGCAGGAGTACAGAAAGTCAGCAGAATGTGAAGCAAAGCCAAGGAGTCAATGCCCCAAGAACTTGCACTTTCAACGAGAGCACCTTGTCCTTATGATGAAACAGAGCCGTACAGAAGTTCAGGCACTAGCCAAGGGCTTCAGCTGTCTGCACAGCCTTGCTTCGCTCTCAAATTCATTATGGGTAGAAGTAAGTGAGCATCATCGGTGCAAACATTCAAAATAAACATCATGCAAACCTTTCCAGCTTGTATAATTCAGCTCTTCCTTATACACAATTTAAGATCTGTTTAGAGCCCTGCTTTTTCGGGGGGTGGGGGGAGAGCGCACATGCATGAAAGGAAGTTACATACCATCCTTGATCAGAGAAAATTTCCATGCGACCGAATGGCTGCTTCGAGTCATTAGCTGGGAAATCTTTTTCCAGTTGTTGCCATGAATGGCTTGGTAGGCCTTCAGCTTCTTCTTCTCTTCCTCAGTATATCTAGAAAAAGCTGCCTGTTTTTACTTTGCTAAGCGCTTCTCTCTTGATTAAAAAAGTACCTACCATCAGAGGTATCTGCTTGAACAACAGACATCCAAGGAGTAAACTGCCAAATGTTCTACCCCATCCCCGTTTTATAACCCTGGCCTGCAGAAGGGGCAGAGTTCATATTTTCCATCTTATGCCAATGCTGCTTGCTAAAATTCTGTTTTTATTTATTATATTTACATGCTGTTATTTTCCTTACTGGACCACTGTGCTGATTCGTCCACAGTGATATTTACTAGGGCAAACGTGAAGGACACTTTCAGCCAGGGGGCCAAATTCCACTTTAGAACAGTCCTTGGGGACTGTGTTCTGGTGTGAGTAGGGCAAAAAATACCAGTTTAAAGCTTTTGCTGCCAATATTTAAGCATTTCGGCCTTTTAGAATGGAGGAAAATTTGCACAAAAGCCGGGAAACCACCAAATAACTAGTGCCTGGTGGGCAAGGGCGGGGGAAGCAGAAGGGGCTGAACGGGTTTGGGACCGCAGGGGGCCAGATTTAGCTCCTGAGCCTGACCTTCTGCAGCCCTGCACTGAAGCCACATGGAATAACCCCACCATGCAACTGTGCAGAGAAAGAATCCGGTTGTTTTACTCACTTTCCACTGTAATTCTGAGGGTCAAACATCTTCCTTGCCCGATAGTAGACATGCCTCCAGGGCCGTGGGATTCCTTCAGCTGCGGGGAAAAGGAACAATGCACGTGTTGAAGCTCCAATACTGGGGAACGGTACAACACCTGAATCCCCTGCACTAGGTTCTCAGTCCTACAGAAATTTTAACCTGATATTCAGAAATGCTGCCAGTTCTGCAGGTGTTTGAAATTAGGGTCTAAGTCCAAACGAAGCTACTGCTTACCATAAGATGTATATTTTCAGTTTGTGCCGTGTATTATATATTTCAAGTGTTTTTAGCCCACTTTTCTTCCACGGACACACCATTTGTCTCTCCCGCCTCATGGTTCACTCTGCCAACATGTGTGCACATGCACAGCATTGTGAGCTATGTCCCCAAGGCAGAGCATTCCTACATGCATTCCTTGAGCATAGAGTGGTGCTGCCTTTCTCTTATCAATCTGCTGAACACACGAGCTGGCCCGGAGGACAAAGCAGCTCAGGAGGACAAAGATGGCGCGACGAGCACACATGGGTTTAGGGGCTGTGCTTCAGTTGTTGCCCTCGAAGGTTCTGTGCAGTTCTGAGATATGCCAAATGGCACACTGAAGTTTGGGTTGGACAATGTTGCATATGATCCAGCCCTCCCCTGGCCACCTTCATTCTTCCTTGGAGCCTTTTTCTGCCCATCATTTCAAAGTGCCTGGAGGTTTTGCTACACTAGGTAAGAGGACTGGGTGCAAAGCACTGACGAGAGTAGTCAATTTACCCATCACTCTGAGAAACTTGGGTTCAGGGGAAGGGAAAACTCACCTCACCTCCTCCCTCCCCTTGGGCTAACCAGTTCTAGAAATCTGAAGGCCTCGATCCCACTTCAGCTAAAATAAAAAAAATGGAGCTTGCTCCAGCTACTGGGATGTAGTTTCCAAAAGCCCAAGAGGAAGCCACTGAATAACTACATGCAGCATGTTTTCAGGACTACAGGCGACACTGCATAAAAAGGACGGGGGCTTTGCAGGCCTTTTCCTCTAGAAACAGGAGGGGTCTGCTGGTCTGTTTCTATGTGACACCACCAAGGGATTTTACAGTTTGGCAAGATAGGCTGCAGTCCCTTAAATGTCCCATAGTGTACATCTCTGTGACAGAAAACTTGAAGCAAAGTGGCCGGGGGTGGGGCGGGGGGGGGGGGCTACACGCTTGCACAAACACATTAAAAGGGAAAACCCTTTGGCAAGATCTCCATTAGTCAATACCCACCAATCTTGACCCCAAACAAGCGTTCGCTTTTCAATTTGTTGATGGCTGCTTTTTCCTCAGGAAACCGGTAAGAGAACAAGAGTTTCTCGGCGCTCTCTATTCCACTTTCTTCCAGGAAGTTCTCAATGTTTCTTTTCAGCAAGTCATTCTCTTTCTGGGAAAATGGGCCAAACTTCACTGCAATGCCTAGAACATGAGGAGGCAGGAAAGGCCAGGCAAAAGGTCAAAATACAGGCTGTTCGGAAAGATCCTCCCTCTTCACCCTCCACCGAGCCACTGTGCCACACCTGGCTCCAGGCTCTGGAATCCCACTTTTGGGCCACCGCTGGCACCGTTGCTCCTCACCTGGCTGCTTTGCCTGCCCCACCCCCCGCCCTTGTCCGGAGCAGGATCTGGACCTTGAACCAAAGGAAGCGCTTTGGGAGAGAGGGCTCAACCCCACAGCTGGCTGGGCGCGCCGGCAGCCTCAAGGCTTTCCAGCCACCTCAGCACGGGCAGCCCCGTGCCCCAAATTCTCCCACCCCTGGCCAGGCCCCATCCTCCTCCCCGCAGCCACCCTCAGCTCTGCTGCGGCTAAGGACCACGCGCACCTTGTTCCTTAAATTTCCTAAACCTGGCTAGGTCTCGGCACGCCAGCTGCCTGACCGTTTCAAAGGCAAGGCTTCGCACGTGAGGAATGAACTCTTCCAGCTCCTGGGCAGCCGCTTCAAGATCCTGATGATCCAGAGAACCTGCTTCTGAAGCTTCTTCCTCATCAGGATGCAGGGGGCTTGGCGACCTGCGGGGAGACCAACATGTCTGACATGCCGAGCAGGAGCAAAATGTGCTCTCTTTCCATTTAAAAAAATCCCTTTCGGTTGCTTCGCCTGGAAATTAGGGAGGGGAAGAACAGGCTGCTGCTCTAGCTGGACTATCTGTCCTTCTCTCCAATTGCCCTCAGCCCCGCCAGTGGGGACAGGCAGGGTTCTCTGGCACCTTCCTTGGTTCTGTGCCATGGCAAGTCCTCCCAGACAGTTCGGGGGGGGGAGCCCCTTGCTCCCCATAGTGACACAGCCTGCCCCTTTGAGCAGGATCTCCTGATAATGGCACAGCACTTTCAGGAGACTGCACGTGGCTGAGAGGAGGGGCCAAGAAAGCCCGCTTCTGTCCACACAGCCGATCCGCAGCCAAAGGGGAGAGCCAGAGTTTGTGTCCTGGTCCCAGCGACTGGATCCAATCTGAGCTTAACCACCCAGGTCTGCCCCATCCTATCCAAGTGATTTTATTCTTCCGTTTACATTTTTCCTTTCGTCCTACGAGGAGAGCAAGGCAGATTACACACTCCTTTTCTTCATTCTGTTTGCACAACCGCCCTGTGAACGAGCTTCGGTGCAGACGCCGTGACTGGTCCAAAGTCACACAGAGAGCGTCATGGCCAAGCGGGGATCCGAAACCGGGTCTCCCATGTCCCAGTCCCACATCGGCTCTGAATTTGGCCACGCTGGCTTTGAAAGGCCTGTCGTGAGGCTTCAAACTCTTGACAGCGTGCTTTCCTCGTGCCTGCCAATACTCCTTGGTGAGGGAAAAACTTACCCGTCAGCACCTTCTGAGGTGGCCGCCTGAAGCAGAGAATCCTGCTCTTGTTTCAACATCAAGTCATTGCTGGCACCGTCCAAACCATTGACCTGGGAAGCTTTTTTATGCTTCCGCCGCCGCTGCTTCTTCACTTCAGTGTCTGACACCCCATGTTTCTCCTCCTGAGAAAGATCAGACAGCTGCACTGTCGAGGAGGAGATAAGGGACGCAGAGACGTCCACCTGCATGCCCACTGTATCACTAGGGTCTTTCCGAGTCTTCTTGGAATTTTTTCGGCCATTTCTATCCCCCCAAAATTTGCCACTGGCCTCAGCCTGCTCTGGTAACCATATTTCTGCAGACTTCTTTTTCTTTCTCTTCTTTTTTAATGCACTTTCATAAATGCAACCGATGTTTTCCAAGCTGTCCTCTTTCGGTGGATTGCTGGCCTGTTCTGGCATCTCAGTGACATAAAGCTGATCTCCATCACCTTGTTTGCTATGATTATGTTTCTTCTTCTTTGTCTTCTTCTTCTTCTGTAGGGAAATATCTGTTCCAGTCCCACTGTTCAGCTCACTCTCCTCCCCAACTGAAGATGGGACAAATTGGGAGTCAGATCTCTCCCTGCTTGCTTTCTTCTTCTTCTTCTTGGATTTCTTTGCATGAATCTGACCATCTTCTACATCCTGATTTTCAGCAGGCCCACCGCTTTCCCCTCCATCGAGCATCTTCTTCCTCTTCCTCTTTAAAGGTGTGCTTTCATAAATACAGTCCATGTTCCTCAAGTTGTCCTCTTTTGGTGAATTGCTGGCCTGTTCTGGCATCTCAGCGACATAAAGCTTATCTCCAACATCTTCCTCACTATGCTTATGTTTCTTCTTCTTCTTCTTCTTGTGCAGGGAAACATCCACGCCAGTCTCGATGTCCAGCTCACTCTGCTCCACAACTGAACATGGAACCAACTGGGAATCAAATCCCTCTCTGCATTCTTTCTTCCTCTTCTTGGATTTCTTTACACAAACCTTACTATTTTCTACATCCTCATTTCCAGCAGTCTCAGAAGGAAATGAGGAATGATCAAAAAGCACTGGAGAAAGAAAGGGAGTGGGCATGGCCTCACTCCTCTCACGTCCACCTAACTTCTTTTTCTTCTTTGGTACAAAGTCACTGGCAGACAATGAGTTGGCCATATTGGGCATTTCCTTAAAAAGGAGAAAAGACAGTAGTTAAACTTCACACCAGTAAACTTAGCATTAAAACAGCTTTTTATTTAGCAGCAGTTTGCAAGCATTTTAACTGGGACCCCAGAATGGAAAAGGATGAAGCAGCCAGGTAAAGGTCACCATGGGCACCTCCACCTGCTGGTTTTATAAAAGCCAGGACTGAGCTGCTTCCATGCTCAAAGCAGGCTTTTGTGCAGGACAGAAAACCAGTTGCCACTCTTCCCATGACTTTAGATAGGCTTTCAGAAACGGGTGGTCAGATGGTTTGAACTTCAACTCCCAGAAGCACCTGCCAGCATCACCAATGGGCAGGACTGCTGGGAGATGAAGGCTAAAACATTTTCGCACCTCAGCTTTAAAGCACCATAAAGGCACAATCCTATTGCTCCTCCTGGTCTCATACCCTGTATTTTCCACTGGGGGAGTTGTTAATCTAAGTGGAGCATCTTCGAACAGGGAAGAAGGCTGGAGCAGCTGCAGGGTAACTCATTTCCTGACTTCTCCAGTCTACTCCCCCACCCCCTCCCCGTGAATTAGTCCTTTTGCCCCCTCAGATAATCTGTGGGCCAGCAATGCAGACCTTATCAAGCCTGATAATTACTCACTGTTTACTTCAGCCTAGGGCTAGGCAGAGAGCACTGGGGAGCCCCTCACTCTCTTGGCCTTGGGTGACTTCTGTGTTGCTGAAAGATGAGCCTGAGCTGAGGAGGAGAATTGAGTCATTTTGAGTTCGTGGTAAAAAAAAAAAAAAAAAAAAAAGGCAGGAAATAAATCTAATAAATAAGCAAACCGTGGGGAGCTGCAATCCGAAGCATCTAGAAGGAATCTAGGTGCGAGCCGCCCCGAGGCTTTGTTGCGACGGGGGCGGCATAGAAATGTTTTAAATAAAAATAAGCCTGGGCAGGGAAAGCCTCCATGCATGCGAGGCCCTCTGAGCCAGCGGGCTGCCCAGCTGACCCCAGCAAGCAACCGCCCCTCACCCCCGCAGCTCCAGGTACTTATAACAAGAAACGGCTAATGATCGCTGATATATTTATCACCGTTTGCCGTCTGCCCAGAAAACACCGGCCGTAAAGGACCCGGACAATGCAGCCGGCGAGTAATACCGAGGAATGCATGCTTCGTTCAGCCGCCCCGCCGCGCTCACCCGCCGCAGCGACGCTCGCACGCCCCACACACTCCGAGCGCGCCAGCACTTCCGCTTCTGTACGTCATTTCCTCTCCTCAGCGGGGGGGGGAGCACGGTGAGAGAGAGGCTAGAGCGGCCAATGGGCTCGCCCCTTGCTTCCGGCTTGGGGCTTGTGGGGGTTATTAAAACAGAGGGCGGGGCCGCCGTGTTGTGGGTGTTGCTGTTTTTCCAGTACAAACGCGGGCGGCTTAGGGTCGTCCCGGGTACCTTGCACGAGGACAGCGGTGGCACGTAATAACAAACTCAGACGCCGTGCGGCTATGCTTTCCTATTTATGTATGTCATTCATTTCTATGCCACCCCTTAGTCGAGGCTCTTATCCTTTTTCCCATTGCAAGGAATCCGAGGCCGCTTCCACGGTCCGCCTCCCTCCCTCCTCTTGATCCTCACAACTGCCCTGTGAGGTAGGCTAGGCTAAGCGTCGAAGAGTCTGCGTGGCTGAGTGAGTGAGAACTTGAATCCTATTAACCTTTATCTATCTGGTAAATTAACACAAGAGCACATGCATGCCCTTCTTTCCTCTTAGAAGGCACCCAAGGCAGGCGCCCCTTATTTTGAGAACCACAGCCCCGTGAGGTAGGTGAGGCTGAGAGTCAGAGACGCTCTGTGGGAAGTAGAAAAGTACTGTGACTAACAGGCTAGAACAGTTAAGGCTATAAATCACTTAGTGGTTAATAATTGTGAGAAGTAGAAAAGTACTGTGATTAACGGACTAGAACAGTTAAGGCTATAAATCACTTAGTGGTGAATAATGAAACTAGTGCTAACACAAACAAACAGACTACAAGATGCACTCGGTAGGCACGACATTAAACTTTTGAGCTTAGAACCCAAAGTATAGCTGCGTAATTAGCTAATGCATATTAATAGTACCTCCTAGTATGACTCAGGGGGTTATTGACATGAGCATGGGACGAATGAACACGAGGGGAAGAACATATTAAGGAGTAATGTGAAGGAGCCGGGCGCGGAAAGTGTGAACTCCGAACACCCCAGGCAATGGGAGAAGGGAGGCAGGGGCTTTGCGCGAGAAGCAGGGAATAAAAGACTGGGGAAACCGCTCCTCCGGCGCACTACCTTCGGGGTGAGTGCCCGGCCCGGCCCGGCCGAGTTAAACCGTTGCCGCTTGGTGCTCTGCGTCGCGTCTCTTAGGGGCCACTCCGTTCCCCACAGCGCCAAGTCACCCGGGGAACTCGGCGGCTAAGTAGCGAGTCCCTCCCGGCGCACGGCAGGCCCACAGAGCGGGGCGAGGCAGCCGGAGCTACCCGCGCTCGGGCCGGGGCCGGGGCGCTGCCAGCCCCGCCGTGGAAGCCACGGGCGCCGTGCTAGCCGTGCGGTCTCTATGCTCGGAGCCAGGGCGGGGGCGGCGCGTGCGCGCGCTCGGGGAAGGGGCGTGGCCCGCCGGGCCGGAAGCGCCTTCCGTGCGCGGCAACCGAAGGGGCCGGGCCTGGCGGGAGGCGGCGGCGGCGGCGGCGGGCGGCGGCCGAGTCAGCGAGCGAGCCAGCCCATGGCAGCGGCTTGGCCCCGGGGGTTGCCGCTCGGAGGAGGAGGAGGTGAGGGACGGTGGCCAGCCCTGCCGGGGCGTCCGGGGCCGCTCACATGCTCCGCGCGCGTCCGCTCCTCCCCTGCGTGCCCGCGCCCGCCGGCCCGGCCCGGCCACAGCCGAGGGGGTGCGCGGCCTCGCTCCCCTCCCCTCCCCACGCGCGCGCACAGCGGGGTCTCGCCCCTCCCCCTCCGCAGGGAGCTTCCCCGAGTGGTCGTGCCTCTCTTCCCCCGCCAAGCCGAATCCTCGCATGGCGGAGTTGGAAGAGCCCGGCGCCCTGCCCAGTGCAGGGCTCCCAGTCACGCCGCCCCCGGGGAGCAGTGCCCCGTGGGGAGCGCCCCGTTCGGTCGTCATGGCTTCTGGCAAGCAGCGCAGGGTGGCCTTGCCTTGCACCCTCATGGGCCCTGTGCGGAGTGGCCGCCGGCCCCCCCCCCCCGTTCTCTCCCATCTTGAGAGCGCAGCGGGGGTTGTGTTGCTAGTGCATTGGTGTGTGGGGGCCCCTCGCCGTTATCTCCAGTTTTAGATGGGAGAGAACGGCAAAGGATGCCCCTCTGGGTTGGGTGATTCTTCCGGGTGGCTAGAAGAAATGTGGCAGATTTATCCGTATTGCCCATTGCAAACGCTTTGGTGGTTGCGTGGTTAAGATTGTCTGCTTTCACTGCTACTCTCAAATTCGCTTCCTGGTTAGGGGTTCAATTTGAGGACTTTAACTTGGCTTGAAGTTGTGGCTTTATAACACAGTAAATCAATGTCAAGCATAACCTGTGTGCCAGACCACAAACTCAGGGTTTCATAGAAGAGTAGTTAGATGGGGCCATGAAGGCCATTGGGTCCAACTCCTTGCTGTTGCAGGACACCCACTTATACCATCCCTCTCAGATTTCAATCAAGCCAAAACCGTTAATTGGTGCAGAGTACCTCAAAAACACTCTTCATTCAGAAAATACTAACTTGAAGACCAATACTGTAACATTCATGTTTAGGTAACATAACTGCTCCAAGAAACTCATAAAAAAGCAAGGAACAAATAAACCAATGTAAATGATGTACCATAAGAATGCTGTGTCATTAACAGAGGAATTTAAATAGTAATTCTCTCCTTATATTGCCCCCAGGCAGCCTTTAATTGACTTCTTAACCTATTCTGGGATGACAAAGTTCCTATCAATCCAGCTCATTGACCTTTTCATCTTTATCAGAAAGGGAGAGAGAGAGGAAGGACAAATAAAACAGAGAACCAGAATGTGGTACAGTGTGTAGACTTCTTTCTAAAAATGCTTCTGAAGCCATTTTTCTATTGGTCAGAGATGGTATTTTATCATCTTCAGATAATGTTATAGTTGAAGCATATGGGCAGGTATCTTATTTCACCCTGCATAGCCCATAGTCTTCCTAGGTCACAATTTACCAGTGCTACTTTCATTCTTCTCCAGCTGCATAAGCACCCGCCTATCAGCATCTTCTAAAGCAGCCCAAGTCGTGCTGGGCCCTGCTGCTTTGGCATCATGAAGGGTTGTCATCCTTAACATTGACCTAGATATCAAAGCTAGACCTTGGCTCCTTCCGAGATTGATCAGCATTTCTAAGCAGCTTGCAGAGAGCTTCCCATAGCTGCTGCCTCCCTTGGCTGCTCTAGAGCTTTCAGATTTAAGCAGGCCAACACATACCTTGTTTGTATACTGGTTAAAATGCCTTTTCCAAGTTTGTGTTCATCTCTTGAAGTCTGTGAGTGATTTCCTGTGACCATCTAGATCATTCTCATGCCCATGAGGAGCAGCTCATAGGTTTTGGACTCGCTTACTCTCCAGCCAGCTGTTACTTGCGGCCATCACCAGCCTAGAGTCCCCGCTCTGCATATGAGAGGAACAGGAGAACAGAATAGGGTCATGTTACACGGACACCGTGCAAGCGTCTTCTGTCGAGGACACACAAGCGCGCATTCATTTCCCAGTACCAACCTTTTCTTAGCTGGTGTCCTGTGCCTATTTGGACTACGGCTCCTTTCAGCCTCATCATGAGCCATTTTGACTGGGCCCGCCAGGGTCGTGCAGGGCAAGGCCGATGCACAGAGGGGGCAGGCTTTCTGGATGGTTCATCCTTCTAGACAAGCAGGAGTCAGAGGCTTGGGCCTATTGTAGGCTCCTCTGCCGGGCAGTCAAAGCTGCCTCCGCGTCTCTTGCATGTCCAGCAGGGCTGGCCTCTTAGCTGGGGTGGGGACATTGCCTGAGCAGCCTGCTGGGGGCTCTTCAAGCATTGGTGCCGGCTTCCCAAGGAAAAGGCTGTGGAGTCTTGGAGGAGGGAGCCACGGCTTTCCCATGGGGAGGACCACAGCACAGGTGTGCAATTAGCAGGCCAGAGTGCAAGGCAGCAGTAGCTGCTGCACTGACTCCCCAGGAGGTAATCCTGATTTCAAATTCCATGGCTTGACTGCACAGAGGAGGGCAGAAGTACACTCTCGGCGGTGGGGTTGTTCAGGAGCCGCTCTCGGCCAGGGTGCCCGCGAACCTTTTGAACGTCTCTGAGAAAAAAGGTGAAGGCATTTGGCAGGCAGGTGCATCCTTTATCCTTTCTTTAGAAGTGGCAGGTGTTTGGTCTTTGCTTGATTGCCTTCCCCCTCCAATACATCGGTTGTCACACATGTGTAAAAATACTTCGCAAAATAAATTTTAAACATTGGTTAACTAGCTGTTCAGCAGCTAGAAAATGTCAGCCAAAACAAAACAAAAACACCATAGTTTCGTCCTCCTTTCAGCTGGCCACAAAAATAACAAAATGCCTGGGATGTTTTCTTCTCCCCCACATTCTCCGCAGTTCCTGGAGAACAAAGGGGAGGAGGGTGGAGACTTGCTATTGAGATTTGTTAAAAGTCCTTCAGGCCCATCTTTCTTCTTTCACTTTCATTTTAATTAATGCTGGTCTGTAACATGAGTCAGGAAGTGGCTGTGCAGCGCTGGCCTTGAACAGTTAAATACGGAATTTGTGGTTGCAATGAGCATAAAAAGGCTTTACTCAAGCACAGACGTCATTCTCCGTAGTGCTCCTCCAGTGTGGCGACAGATGAAGATTCCCGTGGTGTTGTGACTTAACGGGCTGGACCCCTGGTTGTGGGAAAAAGTGACACCCTTTTTCTGTGGCCAAGGTAGGAATGTCTTTTGTGCACAGCTAAGTAGAGATTCCTACCCTGGAATCTAAATTATGTTATTTGCTTCTTTCCTTTGGCATCAGGGATTTGTATCCTGACAAGTTCTTTTCCTTCAGCTGGTGAGCTTTTCTCCTGGGGACATGGCCTTTGCCTGGGATTCTTAATTCCCTGTTTTTCCATCTACCTGAAACTCCTTTTGGGAGACTCCCTGTATGCTTGAGGGACTTAAACTGAAAGGATGCTGCAAACATGGTCAACAGAATGGAAGGTGAACCCCTGAAGGCACTTTGGAAAGAGTTGTTGTGTGCTTCAGTGATATTTCTATTGTTTCCCTGGAAACAAATCCCCTTCGATTAAAAGTATTGGCATGGATTTGGAATTGAGAAGAGAGCAGATTTACTTGGAGTGATGTTGATGCTGGTTTTATGGGGTCACATATGGGGAAGGAGACAGCACTGCTTCATACATTCTGCAGGAGTCAAGTGCTGGGTTTTGGCTTTCTGTTATCACATAACAGTGATTGATAAAGTGCTTTAAATGCAGGCACTGTATAATTATTAAAGGGAACATTAAAGGGAACACACCTTGCCTGCAGGGCTTACAGTCTGAAAAAATATGCCCCTTAGTAAAGAGGGAGGGAAAGAAGAGGGGCACAGGGTAGGCTTGGGAAAAGATGCATGTTTTTAAGATCTTGTTTAAGCTACTGCAAGGTGGGGGCGGATTATAGCTAATTTCAGAGAAAGGCTGGGAAGGTGAAGAAGTTGGCATGCAGTAAATGCAACAAGCTGGTTTAGGCAAGACGAAGCAGATAAAAAACCCTCCAATGATAGAGTAGCTAACTAACAATTCTTCATTAAAACAATAACGCAGTTAAAAACGATATAAGTTCAACTGATAAAATCCCCTTTGGCAACAGGCTGGTTTGCCAGCTGATGGAAGGGCGAGAGGGGGCTGAAAGTGTCCCTTGGGAATGGTGGCTGAGGTGAGAGCCAAGCTGGTGCGCCGCCAGTTCATCACAGGGCGATTCTGAACCCGGGGCTTCTCTGCCTACATCTGGGCCTGCTCATCCATTCATGTGCTCTGTGCCTCTGTCCATGTTGGATGCAAAGTGAATGAAGGTCGACACCCCAGCAAATGAAGTCAAGGCATTGGCTGTGCGTCGCGTTTCTTCTTAGCAGGGAAATTTTTGCACACAAGCCAGGAAGCGGAGCTGCCAAGGAGCAGGCTTCTAGACTTTAGGAGTGTTCTTGCTTCCACTAAGTTTGTCCCATGAATTTCCAGGCTTTTTTAATTGCAATTAAAGAAGGGCAAGTGTGGCATACGAGGAGAGAATCTGCTTTGCCCGAGGAAGTTCCCTGTTCCGTCCCCAGCATTCCTGTTCAAAACGGAATTAGTTCCACTACAAGATATATTTTAATTATTACATTTTTATACTGCCTTTAGCCAAAGCTATCTGGGTGGTTCACAACATTTGAGTCAGGAAGAACCTAACCGTTATCATTTCTTTGATATGCATATTGCCCACTTAATGGGAATAAGCTGCTGTTGTCGCGCCAGTTCTTCAGTCTGTCAGTAATGAACTTTTAATGTTGTTTGTTTCTGCTACTTGCTTCTGTGAGGATAGGCTTAGGCTAGTGCAGAAACACTTGGAAAAAGAAAGTATATGTTGTTCCATTTCTTTCCTGTATTTTCATACATAATCCCACACACATTCATGGCTTTTGTGCGTGAATTTTGGGAATTTTTTTAAAGTGAGCAAAATGTGTACAGTAGGCAGACCGATGGAAGGCATGAATGTTAGACTTGCTCCATGTTAGATTTACTCTGTGTGTTCGGGTGGGGGGCGGTTTGGAGAATCTATGAAGTACAGTGCTAAACACTTTTTTTGGTTTGTTTGAGATCATTACAGTCTTACCTCGGCTCACGAACGCCTTGGTTCATGAACAAATCGGGTCACGAACAAAAAATTCTGAAAAGTTTTGACTTGGGTCGCAGACACCGCTTTGGCTGGCAACCAAGATTGCAGCCATCTCCCCCCCCCCCCCGAGTGAGAAGGTGGCCACGATTGCAGTTCCGTTCGTGCAGGGAAGGCGTGCGTGATCAGAGGCGCTCCTGCAGGAAAGACGGGCAGAACCTCGGCCATCTCCCCCAACCCCAATCAGCACGATCGCGCCCGTCCCTCCCTTCCCCAGAGCACCCGCAATCACGCCCATCTCTCCCCCGCACCCCCCAGTGCGCTGGGGTGACGGGTGCCTGCAGGGGTGACGGGCGCGATCTCGGTCGTGCGGGGGGCGGGGGCGGGGAGATGGCCGCGCTTGTGCTTGGGGTGGGGGGGATGGTTGCGATCTTTGTGGTCACTTTGTGTCATGCGTAACGGCTCGACAGAGGTGTCGGCATGCGAGGGAGGGCCAGACGCTCGCAGTGAGAGTCAGGCGTTGGAGCAGGGGGATTTATACTTGGTGCCCAGGGCCCAAACGGCTCCCCTGCAGCCCGACTCGGGGGCTTCCGAGCGAGTAGCCTCCCCACACCCTGGCTCTGAGTTGTTGAAGCAGGGTGCAGCTTCCCTTCCTCTAGACTCCGAGGTGTTTGAACAA